GTAAGGGCTGGACTGACACTTTGGCATGGACAGTGTACTAACAAAAGAGAAAGACAGTCCCAAATCATTGTAAACCAACTGGTAAGGGGGAGATATTAGGACACAAATGGGGATGTGAGCCTTCTGAAGGGCTTGGGGCTGGAATGTACTGTGTGGTTGGCGAGGAGGTGGGAATGAACGGGAAGGGCCACAGGGGACCATACCACGCAATGAAGGGACTGAAGGAAGACCCATAACTTGGCCGGTATACACACCTGTCTGCTTCTGTGACAACTTAATTTTTCTTTTATAAGGTTTGCTTCTCCACCTACTCTGGTGGGGTAGAAATAGGATCTGGCTGCAAAGGGGAAGATGGAGCATTGTGAAGCAAATTCTGACAGCGACATAATTTAGTTGTGTTAACACTTTAACAAAACTCTTCTATGTGAATTAAAGATCGTGTTAACTTCTCCTATTTCCCCATGGTTTTCTGTGGGTGTTCATTTCATACATGAGGATATTAATGTGCAAAGACCCCCCAAATAGAAGCTAGTGACAGAATGAAAGCCAGAACTCTGGTTGCCAGACGAAACATTCTTTCCCAGAATTTTATTGTGTCTCATACTTTGGTACAAGTTTCTGTCTCTATGATTCTCTTCTTTGTTCTGCCTTGTTCTCTGTCACTGATATCCCAGCCCTAAATCCCCAATCTCCCACTTCTTACTTTCTCCCTAAATCTTTACTTGAAGGAAAGGTCACAGTGAGCTAGTTCTCTTAAGATTACTAGTTTTATTTCAAGCCCCACCTGATCATTGAAACTGAACCACCATTCAATTTTAAGTCTGGATATGTGGCATTTAAATGGTTCCTTCCTTATGTTCTAGAGCAGGGTCAACAAACTGCGACCTGGGGACAAATCGGACCTGCAGCTTGTTTTAGCAAATGAAGGTTTCCTGGAACTTAGCTGCCCCCACCTAGCATGCCCTGTTTTCATGCTGCAAAAGCAGGGCAGTTGTGACAGAGACTGCATTGCCTGCAGAGCCTAAAACATTTACTCTTGGGCTCTTTACAGAAAAAACTTGCTGAGCCCTGCATACAATTTTCTGGAGAGAATTTCATGGAGCTAGAATAGAAATGTCCTCAAGCCAATGCCATCCTTGAGCAGTGTTCTCAAGGAAACCTGTCTGGTTCCAGGGTTCACTTTACCAAGAAATCACATTCTATTTGCCAACACTGATTTTCTGCCTAATGGCAATGATTAGAAATCCAGCTTAGTATAGCCTGCCAGGTTAGCCTCAAGGTTATTACACAAGCACATGCTTTGCAACTTGTTCCTTTTTATAGTCTTGCTGCCCTGATGGCTTATTTCAGTTTTTTAGTAATCTCTTTCTAGGGAGAGGAATTCTTCTTTAAAAATTTCCCTTCCTGTTGGAGTGGTAAAGAGCCAGTAAGGGCCCCAGTCATTCACGTTGTATTAACCAGGAAAGTGGCTGAAGGAGCTAAGGAAAAGGAAACACAGACTCCCTTAAAGAAAAGATCATAAAATTGCCTTCAGAGGCCAGTGACACTTGCTTCTGCCAATATAAATGTCAACATATTTGCTGGAGCCCAGCCAGCCCCCAGTTCAGGCACAAGTTTAAATAGTCCACCAAGGCCACTACGCCATGTGCATGGGAAAAAGAGGTAACAAATACAGATTCATTAAATACAGACACGTGCCTCTGGGCCACCACGTGTTTGAAGTTAGGAAAAGAAGTATAGGTACCAACCCCTTCTGCAGGGCAAAAGGAATGTGGGCATTCCCACACATAGCATATGGATGTGACTGAGGAAGCAGACACCCCCCCACACACACACACACTGTGGCATGTCCAGTGTTAATTGTAAATAAGAATTCCTCGATGTTATTGAGGATAGAAGTTTTGCATGCATAAAGTGTGTCTCTTGAATTTGGGAAATTTCAACCCAATTCTCCAGGGCCCAACTTCGCAGAATGATTCACAGTATCTCAGAAGCAAAAGGTATCTTGTAGGTCTGAGCTCACACACAATGGTGCAAGGATTATTTTCCTCAGGTTTGTTCACCCACGTAAATGACGGACATGATGTTTATGTACAGAAACACCTCACACTGATCGGTAATCTCCTGGCCTTTGGCATGGAGCGTTCTCCTAGTCTTTTCCACTTGCTGTACTTTTCTTTTTTCCTTAGTCTCCAGATCTACCCAGCTCCATAGCACTTCCATACCCAGCAGCCAGCGCAGTCACCACCATCAGCGACCCTTGGGGTTTCCCACTCTCATTTTGTCCAGCCCTCGGCCTAATACTAGGCAATGTGCATCTCTAGCTGTCTTCATCATGTGCTTGCTTTGGCAGCACATATACTAAAATGACCAGTCTTCAACCAGCACCCAAACGGCCATTGTTATTTAAAGAGCTATATTATTAAATAGCATAGGTTCATTTTAATTTACATTAGATAAAAATTCCCCAACCCGTGAAATATCAACATCTTTGCTTAAGAGGCTCAGGAAAAAAGTTTATTTAAAAATCAAAATGTCGGGACGCCTGGGTGGCTCAGTCGGTTAAGCGTCTGCCTTCGGCTCAGGTCATGATCCCAGGGTCCTGGGATTGAGTCCTGCATCGGGCTTCCTACTCCGCGGGGAGCCTGCTTCTCCCTCTGCCTCTCTCTCTCTCTCTCTCATGAATAAATAAATAAAATCTTTAAAAAAAAATCAAAATGTCAGTTACATTACAGGCATTGTGTTCAGTGATTTCCATGCAACATGTAGGGGCGTTATTTGGGAATAACTGAAGTCCAGAAACTACCTGGTGTTTTCCCCACATCCCTGCTACTGCTTTAGTTGACTGAAAATCACCACACTGCTCCCAGAGGGGTACATGTTCCTTTGTGTCAAGTGTTTATTTGGGAATTTGTAGTTGATCCTAGATAATTCCCCTTATTTAGCGACCCTCATGCTTCCCCTTCCAGGAAGAAGGGGTCCAAATGATGAAGCCCAGAATGCACAAGAGAGAACTCACTGAAATATAGCAGCACGTGAGCCAATTATTGTGGAAACTCTGCTCTAAAATGTTGTGTTTTTCATATGGACTAAGATCTCTGATGAGGTTCAGAGGAAGTTCTAGGGTTGATACAGAATTATACATCTAACACTTCAACATGAGGTGTCAGAATGGAAGATAATTGGGCAAGATGAGAAGGCTCTCCCTTCTTCATTCTGGGCCTGGCCCTTTCCATAGTTTCCCTGATTTTTAGGGAAGAGTGAAGGGCAACCCCCTGCCTTATGTGTCATTCATTCAGTAGTTAATGAGTGCCTACACTGTCCTAACATTCAAGGCACTTTCCCATGGCTATGGCCTTAGAAGCTACTTTGCCCATCTTTTTTCCTTAGATCGGTTGTTCCCAACTGGGAATGATTTTGACCCCAAGGGAACATTTAGCAATGTCTGGAGATATTTTGGTTATCACAACTCTGAGGAGGGGCTAGTGGTACTTGTAACTAAGACCAGGGACACTAATAAATATCCTACAGAGTGCAGGGCAGTCCCCACAACACAGAATTACCTGGTCCCAAATGTCAATTCTGTCTTCTAGTTAATCATCTTTTTATCAGAAAAATTTCAAATGTAAAAGAAACAAACTACTTCAGGAGGGATGATTTGCTAAAGCAGAAGAAACATCCTGGTAGGCCATTCAGATGTGTGGGAGTAGACTCTGGTTATATGTAGTTAGAGGTTAGTTCTTCTGAGATTCACTTATTCTGGATACTTCTGCCATACCTCATTAATTATGACAACTGCTCCAGGAACACATTTCTTAGATTATTCTAAGAATTCTATCTGCTCCCTAGAGTCATCCCTTAATTTGGTAGAGTTCAGATTGTTCTCCTTAATTCTGTTTATGGCATCACAGTGGAGGACACGACCCCTGAAATGAGGCTGCTTGAGTTTGAACCCTGTGTTGAGCACTGAAGAGTATAAAACTTTGAGCAAAACATGTAATTTCTCTAAGCTTCACCTTCCCCATCTATAAAATGGTAAAAATTAGAACACCACTTATGAAGCAGTTGGTAAGGATTGAATGAATTGATGTATATAAATCCCATCCACAGTGCCTGACACATAGGAAGCACTCCATAAATTTCAATTCTATTATCATTGGCCAAGATTTCTGCATTATCATCGTGTCCAGAATGTGGCGAACTTATGCGGGAAGTGTTGTACAGCAGTTAAGCACACAGACTCTGAAGCCAGATTTCCTGGGTTGGAAGCCTTTCCCCACCATGTACTTGCTATGTGATTTTGGTCAAGTCTCCTGCAATTTTGTGTGCCTCAGTTTTCCCATACATAAAGTGGGGATAGTAAGAGGTACCTTCTAGGGTTGTAATGAGAATTACTAAATTAATATATGCAAAGTTCTTATATATGTAAAGTATATAGTAAGTTCTAGTAAATGTAAGTGATTTTTTCACTCTTCTGTCTAGATCGATCATAGCTTCAATTCAGAACAATTTTTCTTTTCTCAAGGAAACAAGTTGTCCCTATTAATAATGGAAAGTTAACATGGATATCCAAGGCCAGAGATACCACAAAAAATTATATAATAGTGAAAGAGCCAATGTTAATTAAACACCAAGGGGGGAGTGTTCAAGATGGTCCTCAAGATAAAAGTTCACAGTTGAGACAACCAAGTACCTAAGACTTTTGTCTGGAAACAGGACACCCATAGCCCCCATCGATGACCCTTACTCCAACTTACTTTTCTATTATGGGGAACACATTGCACCAGGTGGGATTATTACCTCAATTCCCATAAACTTCTGGAAAAGTAGACAAAAGCTAATGTTTAAATCTGATGCTGAATTATCTTCAATTTGGCACAGAATTGAATTCTAATTTTGGACTTGTGAGTTTCCAGTAAAATCACTTTCCTGGCACCCATGGCCATGGGTGTCGATATCAAACCTGGAGGTATAAATAGTTGTGGATGAGAAATGTTCATCACTCTCCCCAGTCCAGATCCAGAGAGCAATCATGAAGACCATCATCTTCCTTGCCCTGCTGGGAGCCACTGGTGAGTCTAAAATAGTAAACGAATCAGTGGGTGTCCATGATGTATTTGTTTGCACTTTGTACTCTGAAAGACAACAATGAATGTTGAATAGAATCTCTGTATTCAAGAAGCTTAAAATATTGAAATGACAGCATATATAGTAGTCCTCTCTTTTCTGCAGCAGCTACATCCACCCCCCGTAGATGTCTGAAGCCACAGATAGTACTGAACCCTATATATACTGTGTTTTTCCCCCCGCATATGCATACCCATGATAAAGTTTCATTTACAAATTAGGCACAGTAAGGGATTAATAACAAACGTAGTAATAGCATAGAACATTTATAACAATGTACTGTAATAAAAGTTATGTGACTGTGCTCTTCTGTCTCTCTCTCTCTCAAAATATCTTATTGTACTGTACTCACCTTTCTTGTGATGATGTGAGGTGATAAAATGCCTACGTGATGAGAAGTGGAGTGAATGACATAGGCATTTTGACATAGTGTGACGCTATAATGACCTTTGGAGGATACATCAGAAAATGGATCTTCTGCTTCCTGACTCTGGTTAACCAAGGGTAACCAAAACCACAATAAGAGGCGGATTACAGTCATACAAATGTCTATACATAATTAAATCTCCCTTGTGGGGGAAAGATGATAGTGAGCAAGAGTAATTAGCGCAGAAAGTATAAAGAGACAGAAATTGCCCTGAACTTCAAGGTAAAATCTATGGAAAAAGAGAGAAAAGGAAAGGATAGTTAACATTAGGGAAATGCTGTTTCGATCTTTCTAAGCACTTGGAATTAATAATTGAGAGTTAAAATTGGGACTAGTGACTAGTCTGGGCTCATTAAAGAGGCTATGAGGGTCACAGCCCGCGTCTCCTCTGCACCGACAGGCATCTTCACAGGATCTTAACAGCTGAAGGTACTTCATTTCTCATGAAAAAAAGCCATGGGCTGGGTTTTACAACGTCTTTGCTAGTGAAATCTCTCTGGTGTGAAATAACATATCATTTAATCATCAAAGGAAAGAAAAATGTCTATTTCTGTCTTTTATACTACCAAATTTTATACAAATCTTATGATTAAACTTTCCCCAATTAGACGGGTATAAATTCAATAACTTAGTCTATACATCTGGAAATGTCTTTCCCAAAATTACTTTAAAATATTTGAACAATAGGGTACATATAAACAATCACTGACTTTGAGAGCCATAGAAATCTTAATAAATCAGTGGGCAAACTTCAGAATGCTGAATAAATTTTAAAATGTTGGAAAGATAACTGAGATAAGGGGTAATGTTAGAAAGGAAACCACATACTATTCTATTAAGTTATGTCATGAAAATTTTAGGCAGGAACTAAAAGAGAAATTGGGAGAACAAGAGTACAACACTCCCGATTCCTTCTAGGTTGGACCATTCTTAGGTGGCTAGTAAAAGTTTCCTTTCCGTTCCTTCATTGGGATATCTAACCTATACCAACTACCATAAAAAACATAAGCATGGTTACTGCAGAGCTTTACTGAACACCTATTTGCATGTCTGCTGAGCAAGGTTTTGTACAAAAGTATTCTTTATACCCTTAGAGAGTAATGTTCATGGCATTTATTACATAAAGAGTCTCTGACTGAGGGGTGTGTGTGTGTGTGTTGCATATGTTTCAAATGGTATATTTATCAAATTTAAAGCATAAATTAAAAAATTAGATACTTATAATAGTATAAGAGTATGTGTTAAAAGTATTGAATAATAAGATTTTGGAAAAAATCATGTAAAAATTATGTTATCACCATTTCCTGATTATGTGTGAGAGGAAAACATTATCTACTTTTTTCTGGTTAATCTGGAAAAACCTTGTGGTAAGTAGAAATTCCAAGATGGATCTGTTTAACTGATTGTTTCCAACTTTTCCTTGTCAGTTGCTTTCCCCATTGATGATGATGACAAGATCGTTGGGGGCTACACCTGTCAGAAGAATTCCTTGCCCTATCAGGTGTCCCTGAACTCAGGCTACCATTTTTGTGGCGGCTCCCTCATCAATTCCCAGTGGGTGGTGTCCGCAGCTCACTGCTACAAGTCGTGAGTAACCAAACCTCACATCCCTGTTCTCTCAGATCAACTCATGCCCCAGCCCTGCAAAAGAAAAATCAGGGCAAACTACATAGTTATGCTTGAGGGGCAAGCATTCAGATTCTAGGAGCCTCATCATTCCCCCCAGGCACTGAATGATGCATTGAGGGAAGTTTACATGGAAAAGTAAACTTAGAGTTCCTTGATGTCCTTCCAAATGATGGTACCAAAGACATGGGAAGGGAGCTAGTGAGTGATGAAGTATACTTAGAACCAGCTTAAGAGCATTATCAATAAATAGTCCTAATCATGATAGCTCAACCAGGAAAAAATGGCATATGGTGGTAATAACCCACATGAAGCTTTCAGTAAAACATTAAAAATAAGCACAATTCATTCTGCCCCCTTAAAATTCTTTCATGTCTCTGATTCCTGCCACATCTCCCTACAGTAATCGATAATCCCAACCAGAGGAGGAGTAACAGGTGCTGAATAGTCACCACCAATTCCTGTTTCACCTCCCATCTTTTTACTGGCATCACTTAGTCATGGGAAATAACTTTCTAACACGATGGTGGGCTATAAGTCTATACTGGTAGGGACACCCACCTAGGAGTTACTCTTACCTGCACCATATTTAGTAGGGCTCACTTAAGTGCACAATTTCCTATGTGTGGAAATGCTAGCAGGGGATGGTGTTCATGCTGGTGGTCATGACTGGGGTAAACTGGGAAAGGGGAAAAGCTGAAGTTGGTCCTTAAGGAACTTCATATCCTTTAATCCAGCCGAATCCAGGTGCGTCTGGGAGAACACAACATCGCAGTCTCTGAGGGTGCTGAGCAATTCATCAATTCAGCCAAGGTCATCCGCCACCCCAGATACAATGAAAAAACTTTTGATAATGACATCATGCTGATTAAACTGAGTTCGCCTGCCACCCTCAACTCTCGAGTGTCTGCTGTCTCTCTGCCAAAATCCTGTGCGGCTGCTGGTACCCAGTGCCTCATCTCTGGCTGGGGGAATCTCCAGAGCACTGGGGGTAAGTGTCACAGGGAACAAAAGCGCCAACTCTGGAAATCCTAGAAGGGAAAGACATGTCGAGGGTCAGTTAGTCCAAATTGTCACTCAAGGCAAGATTCCTAGAGGATAGTTTGTAGACATATGGAGTCTTAGGAAGATCCCTTTGCTGGAAAATACAACAAAAATGAGCTATGATAAAGATGGCAGATATTCAACTGAAGTGTGATTAGTGATTTGCAAAGAAGTAGAAACTGAGGAGGTAAACAGAACAGAGGGATTTGATACTGCCTAAAGTAGAGACCTGCTTGAGAAATATTCTAGATTTGAGATCTGTAGTCACTGATAAAGTCAGAGAGAACAACTTGTTGATTAAAACTGTTGGCAAGACTTTCCAGATAAAAGTTGTTCTTCCAAAATAAAAGTTACCTGCAACCTGAGAGAGTAAGGAAAGAGGGGGGAAGATTGGGAAAGAAATCTCCAGGAATCCTGTAGGTAATATTCTTCTATTTTTACTCCTGCATCCAACAGAAAACTATCCTGATCTTCTGCAGTGTCTTCGAGCACCCATCCTCTCTGACAGCACTTGCCGCAATGCCTACCCTGGCAAGATCAGCAGCAACATGATCTGTCTGGGCTACCTGCAGGGTGGAAAGGACTCCTGCCAGGTCAGTTTCTTTGTACTCGTTTCAGCGGAACTTCATGCCCTTCCACTATAGTTCCCTTTCCCAAAACACAGATTGAAAAGCTGTCTCTGGGATGGATTATAAGGGACCACGGAGAGATTTGGGATCAGTGATAAATTTTCTTTTTGAGATATTAATGGCTAGGGCTAAGGGTAAAGAGATACATAGAAGATGGTGTGCATAAGGCACCCTGCTGAAGAGGTATATTGTAGAAGGGAGCTTTCTGAAAAAAAGCAGGGCTAGCTGGGCAGCACTGCACTCACCAGTCCTCACCTCTTCTTGGCCCTGCATGCCTACAACTAAGAAAAGAGCAGGAGCTAGAAGGAGGGAGGAGAAAGGAGAGGCATGCTGTCAGAGATTGAGAATTAGATTTTCAGGGGAAGGGAAAGTGCTTCCTAGAGAATCAGCTACCTGGGAAAACGGACCCAGAGTAATGGAGAAATAGCGTTTTGCCTTTCTTCCATCTTGGCATAGTTGAGAGTTCTTACTGTCTCTTCCCTCTTGTGCAGGGTGACTCTGGTGGCCCTGTGGTCTGCAACAGAGAGCTCCAGGGCATTGTCTCCTGGGGTCTTGGCTGCGCTCAAAAGGACAAACCTGGTGTCTACACCAAAGTCTGCAACTATGTGAGCTGGATTCGGCAGACCATCGCTAACAACTAAGCATGTAAGCATTTGTACCGATCTAAGCACCAATCTGTTGGTCAACTTCACCTTCCAACCATACCTAAAAACAGTAGCTAAAATAAAAACATTTTGTTTCACATTGCATGTATCCAAGAACTGTCCTTACTTAGTATTATGAACTTTCTCTTCAACCCGGCTTCTCAGTAAGAGGATGTACATAGAATTGAACAATTACACAAAGATAGAAATGGAGAGGTTATGTCATGATTCATTCAGCCTGCTCGAAATGAATTTGCTGATCAACTATCTGCTAGGCTCTGTGTGGTCTACTGAGGATATAAGCATGGATAAGCTTAGAGGTCACTGATACCATCACATTTTAAAAAATTTTTTTATTATGTTAATCACCATACATTACATCATTAGTTTTAGATGTAGTGTTCCATGATTCATTGTTTGTGCATAACACCCAGTGCTCCATGCAGAACATGCCCTCTTTAATACCCATCACCAGGCTAACCTGTGAACCCTCTAGAACCCTCAGTTTGTTTTTCAGAGTCCATCGTCTCTCATGGTTCGTCTCCCCCTCCGATTTCCCCACCTTCATTCTTCCCCTCCTGCTATCTTTTTTTTTTTTCTTAACATATATTGCATTATTTGTTTCAGAGGTACATATCTGAGCTTCAACAGTCTTGCACAATTCACAGTGCTTACCAGAGCACATACCCTCCCCAGTGTCTATCACCCAGTCACCCCATCCCTCCCACCCCAACCCCCCACTCCAGCAACCCTCAGTTTGTTTCCTGCAATTAAGAATTCCTCATATCAGTGAGGTCATATGATACATGTCTTTCTCTGGTTGACTTATTTCGCTCAGCATAATACTCTCCAGTTCCATCCACATCATTGCAAATGGCAAGATCTCATTCCTTTTCATGGCTGCATAATATTCCGTTGTATATATATACCACTTATTTATCCATTCATCTGTCAATGGACATCTTGGCTCTTTCCACATATTGGCTATTGTAGATATTGCTGCTATAAACATCGGGGTGCACGTACCCCTTCGGATCCCTACATTTGTATCTTTGGGGTAAATACCCAGTAGTGCAATTGCTGAATCGTATGGTAGCTCTATTTTCAACTTTTTGAGGAACATCCATACTGTTTTCCAGAGTGGCTGCACCAGCTTGCATTCCCACCAACAGTGTAGGAGGGTTCCCCTTTCTCCGCATCCCCGCCAACATCTGTCGTTTCCTGACTTGTTAATTTTAGCCATTCTGACTGGTGTGAAGTCGTATCTCATTGAGGTTTTGATTTGGATTTCCCTGATGCCGAGCGATATTGAGCACTTTTTCATGTGTCTGTTGGCCATTTGGATGTCTTCTTTGGAAAAATGTCTGTTCATGTCTTCTGCCCATTTCTTGATTGGATTCTTTATTCTTTGGGTGTTGAGTTTAAGAAGTTCTTTATAGATTTTGGATACTAGCCCTTTATCTGATATGTCATTTGCAAATATCTTCTCCCATTCTGTCGGTTGTCTTTTGGTTTTGTTGACTATTTCTTCTGCTGTGCAAAAGCTTTTTATCTTGATGAAGTCCCAATAGTTCATTTTTGCCCTTGCTTCCCTTGCCTTTGGCGATGTTTCTAGGAAGAAGTTGCTGCAGCTGAGGTCGAAGAGGTTGCTGCCTGGGTTCTCCTTTAGGATTTTGATGGATTCCTGTCTCACAATTAGGTCTTTCAACCATTTTGAGTCTATTTTTGTGTGTGGTGTAAGGAAATGGTCCAGTTTCATTCTTCTGCATGTGGCTGTCCAATTTTCCCAAAACCATTTGTTGAAGAGAACCATCACATTTTTGAACAGATGATGACACCAAGGTGCAGAATGTGAAAATCAACTGCCCAAAGTCTCTCGACAAGCTCATAGCCAGGTGGAGACCAAGCTCCAGCTGTCTTGATTCCCAATGCATTGCCGCTGCTGGGACACCACGGGCTCCTTCTGTGCTCTAATCTATCTGAAACTCTGTGAGGCTAGATGAGGGAAACCACCAGGTGGAGAAATTTTTACAAATCACCGATGTCCTGCATTCTCCAAGGTTTTACCGACTTATATGTTCCCCTTCTCTGAGATCTTTCTTGTTTTCCCACTGGGGTTTTATTGCTATAGCAGCCATGATGTCTGCAAGCAATCTGTGCCCCTCTTCCACCAGCAGTCCCCCAAATCCCAGTCCAAATAATGTAGTATTTTGAACTCTAAGAAAAAGAAAGCGCAAATGCACTTTTGGACATTTGTAAAAATAGATCTATTACATCCAGTTCATAGAAGCTTTGTCTACAGAGTTCGTTTGGAGTACAGGTCCCAACACATGATTCCTATGCATATCCGGTGTAGATCCAGGAAGAAGATATCATGGGATCTGAGCATGGAAACACTGGAGCAGGTGGAGGAGGTCTGAAAGGGGGAAAGGTTCACAACCTCAGGAATAAGGTGAAGAAGGGATATTGTCTTAGTTTAGATGGCTATAACAAAAATGCCATAGCCCAGGTGGCTTAAACCACAAACTAATTTCTCATGGTTCAGGAGGCTGGGAAGTCCAATGTGCCATGGAAATAGTGGGAGCCCACTTCCCGGCTTGTAGACAGTGGCCTTCTCACTGTGTCCTCACATGGCAGAGAGAGGGCTCTAGTCTTTTCTTATAAGGACACTAATCCCATCACGGGGGCTCCACCTTTATGACCTTATCTAAACCTTGTGAAGGCCCTACCTCCTAATACCATCCCACTGTGGATTAGGGTTTGAGCACATACATTTGGTGGGGGGGGGACACGAACATGCAGTCCCTACCGGGTATCTTGGAAGAGGAAAGTATGGCAAGGTACACACCCCATTACCAAATTTCTATTCCTCTGTAACTCTGGATGGCACATGCATAGGGAGCAGTCCTGAGCCCTTAATATCGCCTTGTCAATGCCTCCAGGATGGAGCCCAAATTCCTTAGCCTTGCATTCAAGGCTCTTAACTATTTGGTCATAACTAAGCTGTCCTGTCTTATTTCCATAGTTCTCATTGAGTTGCTTTTATGTTTGCATAGAGCCTAAATTAATTTCATATATAACTCCTCTTTGTTAAAATCCGTAGCTTTAGATCTACCCTAACTAAACATCTCAGGCTTCTCTCCAGAAGCAAATGAGCTTAAAGATGCTCCTGTTTCCTCTGAAATGCCTTCTGTTCCACTCCATCACCACCACCAGTATACACCTACCCACCTCAGTCCAAGTAGAGTGCAGATTCAGAGATTGGACAGGCTAAGTGAGACAGATAAAAGATGAGAGATCAGGGCAGGCCCAAAGAGAAGTATGAAAAAAACAAACAAATCCTATTTCTTTCTTTTTTTTTTTTTTTAAAGATTTTATTTATTTATTTGAGAGGGAGTATGAGAGAGAGCAAGCACATGAGAGAGGGGAGGGTCAGAGGGAGAAGCAGACTCCCTGCCGAGCAGGGAGCCCGATGCGGGACTCGATCCCGGGACTCCAGGATCATGACCTGAGCCGAAGGCAGTCGCCCAACCAACTGAGCCACCCAGGCGCCCCAAATCCTATTTCTTGATACCATTCAATAGACTCTTTTCAACCTCTTTTGTCACTTTCTCTCTTGTCTTTTTAAAATCTGACTCTTTGTAATTTGTAAATTTATATTAAAATATAAAATCTGTATACTCTTTGACCCAGCAACTTCACTTCTAGAACTCTATCCTATTAAAACATGGATATAAAAACAAAAACCAAGTATAAATGGGAATGTACCATTTAGAAGTCATTCGGTTGCAAGGAATAGAATATCCAACTCATTTGGTCTTTAAAAATGCACCAGTGGAAGCTTAGTAATGGGGAAGGCTTCGAGGATGTTTTGATTGAGCAATGCAAAAATGTCAAGGACCCAACTTATTCTGGGCTCTGCCCTGTGCATTTCTGTCATTTCCTGTCGTTACTGTCAGTTTATCCTAGGGATAAAGCCTTGTGATCAAAATGGCCCTCGGGGCCCGATTCTCCCTCTTCTGTATCCAGGGAGAGAAATAAACAAAGTTGCTCCCAGTAGATCTAGAAAGCTTCTTTCCCAGATGCCCCTGGCAGACATCACACTGTGTGTCTTTAGCTGAATTTGGTCACTTGCACAACCCTGAGACAACAATCAAATGGGATTATGCTGATTAATTTACAATGAAGCGACACGGTGTAGCGTCAGAGCAAGGGGTGGACTTTTCATTCTGCAAGAAATCTGGCCTACTTGGTATATGTTTGGTTAACTGAGTAGTTATAAGGGTGGTCACCAAGAGAAGGAGGAGTGGATGTTAAGGAGGCAGCCACAGTCTCTACTAGAGTCATCTAGGGTGCTTATCGGTATATTATCTATGAAATCCTGAAAATCCAGAAACAACTCAAATATCTATTTAATAGATGATTGATTAAATAAACCTGGCGTGTCCCTCAGTGGAAACCATGGAACTCTTCTATTCATATATTCAACCACTTACTCAATGAATACTTACTGAAGACCTACAATGTGCCAACCCTGTTTTATGCACTAAAGATGCAGCAGAACAAAACAGTCAAAACCCTACCCTCACGGTATATATATTTTCACTTGGTAAATAGAAAACAAATAAATAGAGACTGTGGAAGGTAATGCTGATCCATGCAAATGCTGCAAAAAAGCAAACTGGATAAAGGTGTGAGTGACTGGAAAGCATAGACCTACTTTTTTTTTTTTTAATTTTTTAACTGTTATGTTAATCACCATACATTACATCATTAGTTTTAGATGTAGTGTTCCATGATTCATTGTTTGTCCATAACACCCAGTGCTCCATGCAGAATGTGCCCTCTTTAATACCCATCACCAGGCTAACCCATTCTCCCACCCCCCTCCCCTCTAGAACCCTCAGTTTGTTTTTCAGAGTCCATCGTCTCTCATGGTTCGTCTCCCCCTCTGATTTCCCCCCTTCATTCTTCCCCTCCTGCTATCTTCTTCTTCT